GATATACAACAAAAAAATCGAAAAAAAAATTATTTCTCAGAAGCTCCTTTGCCAAATTGAGAATCAAGTTCAAGTATTTGAATTTCATTGCAAAATAACAAAATGTTTTATTTAATAAATATTCGATAATTATTAACAATTGTTTTTAACTTACCATATTTTCGTACCCGTCATCGTCATAATCTTTATGATATTCTTCATCAGTTACCCCTTCTATCGTAGCATCACTTTCGCCTATATGCACCTGACTGCCATATTTTTTACATTTTGTTTCTTGAGACTCTCTTAATTCCGTCTCTGCAATCTCTCTCATCATTTCTTGTGTACTAAGAGTATTAGGATTATCTTTCTCGAAAGCTCGCTGTTAATTAATGTAATTAATGTAATTAATATTTGTAAAATTTTCAAAGAATAATTTTGAACTTATTATGAATAGCACTACAAATAATATTTACCAAAAATGCATTTATACGCCTAATAACTGACTTGTCATTACATTTTATCCCTAAACTTTTCGGATTTAAAAGTATGTCACAAATTAATAAAATATATGCGTATTGCGTCGTAGACAATGACTCTCTCTTGTTTTGTTTAAAGATAATGTAACCTATTTTTGAAAGAAGTTCATGATTCGTGAGAATTTCTTCATAAGCTATACGAGTTTTTTCACTTGTCTTTCATTTGGCTAACTTTAGAGAAGGCGTTGAGTTGTCGATACGTTCTAATTTACTTTCACCAAATACAACAAATATCGCATTTCGAATGCTTGCCGTGATATTATTTCTTCTACTTCTACATTTGACCTTAATCTAATAATAAAAATATATATACTATATATTTAGAACTATTTTGTTTATTAAAAGCTTTTAAGATTTTAATTACCTCCGGCAATATTTTTTCATCAAATTTCGATAACCAATTATTTTTACCAATATCATCTATATAATATTCTGCATTTTTTGATAGATATGTTTTTATCGCTATTCGACATTCAGTATCCGATGGAAATAATATAGTCAGTATAAGTTGCTTTGCAACTTCTTTGTAAGCATGCTAGAAAAATTCACTTTAATTATTTAAAAATCCAAATAGACTTGTAAATATATTAGAACTTACTTTCCAAAAATTATCTGATAGTTCATCGTCAACAACAGAAAGATCTTTAAAATTATGTAGATCCTCTGTATTCTCAGAATTCGCAGAATTCTCAGTATTTTCAGAATTCTGGATTAAGAGATCGTTATACTGCGTCATCTACGTGACTTCATTATGACTGGTCAATTGCTTCATTGACAGTGTGTAGAAATTAGATTATATTATGATAATAAAAAATATATTAACATAAAAAACACAAATATCAAGAAAGACTTAAAGACATAGCTAAAACATAAAAGAGATATAGAAAATAATAAGAGTGTTAGATTATATATGGTATTTAGATCACAGCATTTAGATTATATGTAGCAATTAGATCACATTATTTAGATTATATGTGATATTTAAATTATATGTGATATTCAGATTATATGTGATATTTAGATTATATATGATACTATAATCTAGGGTAAATTATATTACATGTGGTATCCCACTGGCTGTGTACAAATGATCAAGATAAAAAGCATAATTTTTAAAATTTTTTCGAAATTTTGAAATTAAAATTTGTTAAAATTTTATGTTCAATGTCACGAGTATAATAAGATAAAGTTAATCAATAAGCTTGTGATACAAACTTATCAAATTATGAATTTCATAGAACGAACGACCTTATTCTATTTATCAAAATATTTGATTTACTAATTATAGAAATATTTTTATTAACCAACTTACTTATAACTTCAAGAATTTTATATAATTAACTTTTAATAATAAATTAGAATGATATAACAAGAAATTAATCCAATTAAAATGGGTTGTTTATTTGGTCCGTTGATCCGCTTAATTTTTGACAATCGGATCGGAACGGATCAGAACATATTTGAACAAGTCTACTTACACGATTTTACTGAGCCCGATCAAACTTTTTATTGGTTAGGACCAGTGGAAAGTTGCCACGCTTTGTGGTTGCACAAATGTTTTTTATCTATAATTTTTTTTGAAAATTAAAATTCAACCTTTTCGAATTAATATTTAACATTCCCTCTTTCTCTCTTTTTTTTTTTTAAAAAAAAAAATGCGATACATTTACGACGAACAGGGTGTTACTTTTAACTATTTTATTTTAACTTTTTTATCATTATTTCTTATCCCAACCACAATTTCTTTGCTTTTTAATAAGAATAAGGGTTGGTATTGTTTTTTTGTCAAAAGCTTCTTTTTTTTTATTTTTTCCTTTGAAGTATTTTTCTCTATAAAATGTACATATTTTAAGATCCATTAAACTTTATTTAGATTCGAAAATTCGCAAACCTACTTGCAATTGTGAAGCATGTTTACGTAAAGAAAATTATCTGAAAAACCGAAAAACGAGTCTATCCGATCGTATCAACAAAAAGTTTGTATAATTTAAAAGCATATTTCTTATTCAAGATCAATAATTTATTTAATTACTTTTTCTAAATAAAGGGCTATATTTGCTGCAGTCGGATGGGTATGCTTTGCTTATTTAATTTACCAGATTACAACCGTCAAATTTGAAATTGATGTATGGGATCCATATGAAGTATTGGGCATTTCTGAGGTTGGTATCTTTATATAAAATTTAATTACCTAGAAATTTTTTACTAAAAAATGATATTTTTTACAGGGTACGCCACTTCCACAAATTAAAAAACATTTCAAAGAGCTCAGTAGGAAATGGTGATTATCATACCTTTTATATCGGGTGTATTTTATTTATAACGTTAAAAAAAATATGATTGATTTGCTTTTTTATAAGGCATCCTGACAAGGCCCCAGCAGATAAGAAAACTGAATATGAAAGTAAATTCATTGACTTTACTAAAGCCTATAAAGTGTAAATATTCTTGTTTTGTTATTCCGTGTTATACATTTGTTATAGTCTTAATATATATGATCCGTCTTAATTAGATTGACGGATGAAGATATACGTAAAAATTATGAGGAATGGGGTCATCCCGATGGTAAACAAGGTTAGTTCTTAATCAATTATATTATGTTGAAAATTCATGTGTGTTAGTTATTAAAGTTAATTGAAAAACTAAAAATTTTGTATTTTTCAAATATAGCTTATTCTTTGGGTATTGCCCTACCGACATGGTTGATCGAAGCCAAAAATAGTCCATTTGTACTCGGTATTTATGCTCTGGCGTTTGGAATAGGCCTTCCCTTCTTTGTAGTAAGTACAAAGTTAAAGATAATCTCTCTTATTAAGAGGAATTAGATGATTGATATTTTATTTATTTAGGGTCGATGGTGGTATAGTTCTAATTCTTATACCAAGGATAAGATTAGAACTCATACAATGGACTTGTATTTCAAAGAATTGAGAAATAATTCCACGATAAGGCAGATATTAGATTTGCTTTCTGCTTCAGTGGAATATAAGGAATTGATAGAACATAGAGTATCAGATGAGACATTGTTACCACAAGTAATATCATCAGTGAAAGAAGAATTAGACAAAAGATTTAGTGAAAAATATCAGATGAGCAAAAGAGTAAGTGTGAAGCTTTAACATAACAATTTCGGTAATTTTTTAATTAAAATTTTTCCATTTGTATCTTTTTTTAATAAATAATAGTACACTGCACCATATTGTCAAAAAGCAAATGCATTACTTCATGCTCATTTATTGAGAGTCAATTTTGCTGATGAAGATTTGTTGAAAGGTAATGATTTTAAATCATTTTTATCTTTAATTTGCATTCATTAGTTTAATTATTATTATCATTTGCTATATTTGTATAGATAAATATTTTATTGTAGAGCGTTCTATACATCTTATCAACGGTATACTTGATATTGCATTAGCACATCGTTGGCTTCAAACAAGCTTACGTTGCATGGAGCTTTCACAACTTTTAGTTCAAGCAATGTGGTTCCAAGAGAATATGCTTGTTCAATTACCTTACATTAATCAGGATGTATTGAAAACAATGAAGATAAAAAAAAAAAACATAAGAAATATTGCTCAACTTCGTGATATGAGTGAAGAAGAAAGAAAGTAAGTTTAGGATCTTAGTGAATTTCATGAGAAATTATAATTTATGTAATATTATTTATCATATCCATTATTTAAGCAATATATTCAAAGGATCATTATCTCCCTCTGAATACGACTCCTTTATGCAAGTCGCTAAATTATATCCACTTGTACAAATAGATCGTGCATATTTCAAAGGTATGAAAATTTTTTGTTTTATTGACATTTATGTAAGAATTAAGTCATTCTAATCCTTTTGAATTATTTTAGTTGTTGGAGATAAGATTATAACACCTGGATCCATCGTCACATTAGTTATTAAGCTTAGAGTAGTGAATTCAAAATCAAAAGTCGAGGAAGTTAAAATGAATGGAGTTAGTAATGAAAATGAAGAAGATGACGAAGAAGAAAAAGGAAGTTATCTTGATAGTGAAGATGAATTGTTATTCGGTGCAAGCAGAAATAAACAAATATCAAACGAAAAGAACGATTTTGTACATGCACCATATTTATCAAGAGACAAAAAACCATATTGGTGGATATTTATGGCAGATGATAAAAAAGATAAAATTATTATTGAACCAGTGAAGGTCACAGATATTGTTACAACTAAGACAATTAAACGTCAATTACAAGCACCACAAGAACCAGGTTTATATTCTTTTGTTGCATATATTAAGAGTGATTCATATGTTGGTGCTGATATAAGAAAAGATTTAAGGGTAAATAACATTTTATATATTATCATAAATTTTTAATATTTACATTACTAAAAGAAAAAAAAAACTTTCTTTAAATTAAAAAAAAATAGCTTGACGTTAAAAAATTATCAGAACTTCCTCCAGAAGAGGAGATTGATGATGATATTTCAGAACCAGAGGAAGATTCTATTGCAGGACAAATGAAATTAATGAGGGAACAAGGATTTGCAGCTGCAGTGGCAGGAGGAGGAGATCCGAAAAAGAAGAAAGAGGGTGATAGTGATAGTGATAGTAGTGATAGTGATGATGATTAATTCTCATAGTAAGGTTTTGTTTTTATAAATTTATATAATGAGATTACCGATTTTTATTTTTATTATTTATTTATTTTTTTTTTTTATAAAAAAAATTTATAAGTATTTAAAAATAATTAAATGTGCCTTGTGGAATAAGCTCAATAGTTCATAATTAAAAAAAAAAATCTTTGAGTAAGTAGATCAAGGCAGATTAATTTACCCACTAAATGATTAAGAAAATCGCTAAGAAACTTATAAAGCAATTTTCTTTTAAAACTAAGTGGGATTAAAAATCTTTTTGACGAAGTGAAAAAGATCAACATTTGTGAAACGTGCAATTTAAATTAAATATTCGCTACCATGATAATATCTCTGCCTAATTGCTCATATTTTACATTTTTCAAATTTGGAATCTTATCTTCATCTTCCTAAAAGAAAAATTTTTTAATTTTTTAACATTAATCACGAATTATATGAAATGATCAAAGTAAATAATTACCTCTATAGATAATTTGTCACCGATACAAGATATTGCATTTGGTCCAACGAATACGGGAGCAATAGTTATAATCAATAAGTTTGGTAATTCACTTTTTAAAAAAGATTGTATAATTCTTGCACCACCTTCTACCATAAGACGTTTAATTGAGAAAGGTGGAGAATGTAATATCGACAATAAATGCAAAAGAGAAAGTTGTCCTGTAAATTTAGTTATGAATGAATGTTTATAATTACATATAATTCTATGATAAGAAATTGAAAGAGAGAAGTTACCATTTTGATCCGAATCTATAGAAATAACTTTAGCTCCTGCTTGTTCTAATAACTATTTATAAACATCGTATCAAGCAAATTTATTTATGAACTCAACGCAAAAGTTGATACGTACCTTTCGTTTATCATTGTCGCAATTATGACTTGTAAATATCCAAGGTGATTTACATTCGTTAGATGTTAACAATTTAGCCGATAGAGGAAATCGCAATCTTGAATCCAAAATTATAGGTTGAGGTTGATTGACTGTTAATTCTATCTCAGTTTCCAATAATCTCGCTAAAAAATTCAACGAAATAATTAGAAAGAAGGTAATTGGGTAAATCATAAAGAAAATATTCACCTGTTAATCTTGGATTATCGTTTAATATAGTACCAATGCCAACCATAATTCCATCATGAAGAGTTCTCATTCTAAAATAATCAAATTAATGCTTACAAACGAAAAATTCTTATCAAGACGGTAATAAACCTTTTCTTGAGTTTAATGATACCTATGAGTCATTATCATTGATTCTTTACAACTTAAAATAAGTTGTTTACCACCTTTCCCAGAAATTTTCCCATCTAAACTTTGTGCATATGTCAATGTAACAAATGGTTTATTTTCATGTATAATTGTTTCTTTTGAATAATAAGGGGATAAAAATGTTTCGACTTTTTCGTAGATCGACATTTTTTTTTAATTTTCCGAAGTTTTTATCAATCTTATATATATATTTTTTTAGATTAGATTTTTTTTTTTTTTTTTTTAATAAATAGGGATATTTTTATTTTTTTTTTTTTTTACAAAAAAAAAAAAAATGGTAAGATTTTTTATTAATACGATATTTTAAATTTCTTTTTTCTTTTCATATTTAATTACATTTTTTTTTTTTTTTTAGACCTCACAAATTCAATTACAACAACCGGATTCGTTAGAATTCGATAATCAAGTTTTCCATATAGCATTTCACCCATCCGAAAATATAATTGCGACAGGGTTAATAACTGGAGAAGTATTCTGGTACATGATGATCCACATTCACTTTTTTTTTTTAAAAAAAAAAAAATAATTTATAATTTAATATTTTTTTTATATCTTAAGTCATCGATACGCTGTAAATGAGAATATAAACATATTATCAATTCGTCCACATAATAAATCTTGTCGTGGCTTAGAATTTAGTCATGACGGTGCTGGTATGTATATGGGTTTTCAAAAAAAAAAAAAAAAATGAAAAATAAAAAATGAAAGAAAATGAAAAACAATTGATTCGATTTTTTTTATCTTTATTTTTTTTATTTAATTTTAATTCAGCTTTGTTTAGTGTATCAAAGGATAGATCGATACAAGTAATAAATCTTGAAACTGGTGAAACTCTCGTAAAGAAAGTTGATTCACACGAGTAAATTATCTTTTTCTTGATTCAATTTCTTGAAGAGAAAATTTTAAATTGATCATAACTTATTTTTTATTTCTTTATAATAAGTTGTCCCATCTATTGTATATTACGATTAAACGAGAATACATTAGCCACAGGCGATGATAACGGGATTATCAAAGTAGTTAATTTTAGTATTGAGAAAAACTTTTTTTTTTTTAAAAAAAAAAAAAAAATTTTTATATTCCTTTCATTCATTAGTTATGGGATATAAGAAATGGAAATGAAATTATGGAATATTCCGAACACCAAGATTTCATTTCTGATTTTGCATTTCGTGCAGATACGAGAACTCTCTTATCTACCAGGTAACGTTGAAATACTTTTTTTTTCCCCCTTTTTCCTTTAAACGACCTTTTAATCAAAATTTCTTTTTTCGCTTTTTCGATGGTTAAAGTGGTGACGGAACATTATCAATTTACGATATACGTAGACCAGATTCAATTGCAATGTCTGATAACCAAGACGATGAATTATTGTCTGTAACCATAGTTAAGGTAAATATCATATAGGAAATATTTATCAATAACCTCAAAATCATAACCGTCTTCTTTTAATTTAGGATGGGAGAAAAGCTGTAGTTGGGACACAAGAAGGAATAGTAAATTTATTTACATGGAATAATTGGGGAGATACATCTGATAGAATAGTAGGTCATCCACAATCAATTGATACGTTGGTTAAAATTAACGAGGATTTGGTTTGTACAGGTTCTTCTGATGGTATAATTCGACTTATTGGTATCTTACCAAATAAGTTTTTAGGCGTAATAGGAGATCACGAAGATTTTCCTATCGAATGTTTAAAATTATCACATGATAATAATTTATTAGCAAGTTGTTCTCATGATAACACTGTAAAATTTTGGGATTTAAGATATCTTTATGATGAGGATGAGGATGAAGGTAAAGGTGAAGAGGATGAAAAGAAAAGCGATAAAGATGATGAAAATATGGATTTGGATTTGGGTGAAAACCAAAGTGGAAGTAAAAGCAATAGTAAAGGAAAAACATTAAATAATTCATTCTTTGCTGATTTATGAAATTAATAAATAATTTCGAACTTTTAAAAATTTTTATTTATATTATTATTGGCCCAAAAGAAAAAAAAGGTTTTTTTTTAAGATAATTTTTTTTTTTTTATGATTTAAATTTACTCGATAAGGGTTAATTCTCTCACTCTATTCTTTGCATATATGTCTTTATATTCATTCCAAATATTGTACAACTCGTCAATATATTTCTCCTGTACCTTAAGGAGTTGTTCTTCCGTTGGATTTTCAATTTTTTCAACTTGAATTGGTCTTCCAACAACTGTTGTAATTTGTCTCCTGTGAGGTAAAACACCAAAGTTATCTACAAGAAGAGTATGACATTAATAAAATAAATTATAAAATGTAATATATCTTCTTTTTATGTTGTTTATCACTTACAATTAAATACACCACGACCATGAAATAAAGGCATTGTCCAACCGGATAATTTTTGTATCGTCTTTTGAACCTTCCAGATTTTGCTTCCTTTGGGATTATCAGCCTGATCCCATATATCATTTTCTCCAAATGAAAATACGGGACACAGACAAGCTCTATTTCAGACCATAACATGAATTAATAATAATCCATTGCATACTCGAATTCCTATTTTTTAATGACTTACCCGTTACGAACAGCTAATTTTATGAAACCGAACCTTCTTTTTAAGACTAAATCATAAACGCCGGGACGCGCATTTAAACTTTCACCAGCACCACCAACTACAATTAAAATGGAATGCCCATGACCTTTCCTTAAAATATTTTCACAAGATTGTCTGGATACTGAAGCACAACCTTGGGCCATTAAATAATCACGATAAAGTGGAATATTAAAATTAGTTGCGAGAGTTAATAAACGACATGTAATTCCGGGAAATAACTTTGAGAAATCATTTGCTTCTGTAACAAAGTTTGTCCAAGCTCCAACTGAAATAACTCCGTGTGGATGATATCCAAACACGTAATTTTTTGTTGGATCTAAATCGACTTGCTAATAATCAAATTGAGTTCGTTTAATTTTTAAATCCCTTCAAATCAAAAAGACCTTTCGATTCTTTGATCATACCTTAATTAATTTTATTGGAAAATAATCAGCGTACCATCTCCAGAAGGGAGCTCTTCTGGCGAATTCAAACCTTCTACCACCGTTTTCCGGTGCAATATCAAAAAGCACAAATAACAAATAAGCAATGATCCACGGTAAAAAGAAAACTATTGTACAAGATATGAAGAAAACAAAAAGAGTTGCAGGTAAAGAAACCAGCCACATAAAAACTACGGCTGTTTGACGTCGTCTTATAAACGGCACATTAAATGGTACCAAACGAATAATAGGTTGCTTAGTATTTGAACTATTCGCGTCAACAATTTTATCTGCCATTATTCTTAAGAAACGTTTGAGTCAATGAACTCCTTTAAAAACTAAGCTTATCCTCAGAATCAAGAAAAAATTGGTGAAATTGTAAAAATTCTTTTGAATCGTAAAATTCGAGCAAAATTTTTTTACAACGTAAAGATGTATTAGATAATAGTTACTTGGAGCTGATTATTAATCAAATGTAAGAAATAAAAAAAAAAAAAAAAAAAAAAAAAAAAAAAAAAGAGAGAGAGAGAGAGAAAGAAAAAAGAAAAAAAAAAAAAAGAGAGCAAATTAGTTAGGATAAGCAAAGTAAATATATATTTATCGTAATTTTCAGGTCTCTCGACAAGCTAAATTCTTTATTTGAAAATTTTTGGTTATCTTGTAATCAAAAGTAACACACCGAAAAAGCAGGTGATTATCAACTTTTCATATCCTAATTAATTAAATATTTTTTACAAGTTTTACTCCCGATTTTAAAGATTTAAAATACCGCGTAAATACGTGAATCAGAAAAAAAGATTTTCAACTTGCAGAAAGTTTGTAATTGCGCATTTCGATTGACCGACGTCCACGAGGACAAATTCTCCAATAGTCAATAATGGACAACACATTTGACTTATTTTATAAAATATTCTCTTTTACATTTTCGAACCTTATTTCACTAATTTGTTTCTTTACTATACTCTTTTTTTTTTTTCTCAGTATGGATGCTAAAATGGAAATTGAGTTTTTCCGTGCCGTTATGAAGAATAGGCCAGTTGGTAAGTTGAAATCTGTTTAATTATTTTAACTACCTCCATGACTTTATAGTTTGTTATTATAGGCATCCATAGACATTTTCGTATGGTGAATATACATCGTGACTTTAATGAAAACAGTCCGGTAAAATGTTCAATACCGCAACTTTGGGATCAGTTTAGTAAATATTTTAACGTAGAAAAACTTGAAGAATTGGTAAAGAATATTCATACACTCGAATTATTCTTCGATTTTATGAGGTTAATTTTCATTCATAATTAATAGGAACGAGAATTCGATGATGAGGGTGATGAGGATAAACCACATGCAGAATTTAGTCTACCTATGGACGAATATTATAATCTCATTGCTGAGCATCGAAAGGCTGGTTCTTCACGTGGTGCTTCACCTTCACCAGCGCCTTCGAAGGCTCAAAAGGGAAAAAGAGAGCTTTCGTCCACTCCTTCGCATACCGCTTCAATCGAAACATTATCACCTGAACCTGAAGGTTATGTATCGATGATCATAAAAGTTATATATTAAATCACTTTTCACTCACACCTTTTAAAAAATTTAAATTTAGCAGATGCAAAGAAAGGCGGCAGAAGAACTAGAAATACAAGAAAATCGGATGCTTCAGAATCTGTAAGAACTCCAGCACCACCAGCGAAGCGTGGTAGGTCTAGAAAAGTATCAGATGCTGTATCATCATCCGGACCTTCCAAACGCGGTGGCCGTAGAAAACAAAAATAATTGTTGTAAAACCAATTGTGAACATGAACCAAGAAATTCAGATTTTTTGACGCATGAAATTCAAGAATGGTGTTTAAATTGCTCGGAACTTTTATACTTTGGACAAACTTACGAACATAGAATACTTCAAATAAATCGATATTGTCATTTATGTAGAAATTGTATATATTTTAATGATGCGAGAACTGTTAGTGATGTTCATGAATAACGAATAAAATCTGTATTTTTACTTTATATGAACAAATTTACCGGTAAGGTTTAACTTGATCTTTAAAAAGAAAAATTAACAGAGCTCTTCAATGAAGGAAGGGACAGGTGCCAATTTGTCAATTTTGAATCTGTTAAGAATATTAACTTTTATTGAAAGTTTCAAAAAAAAGGAAGGAAAAGAAACAAAAAAAAAAAAAATCGATTGAGAAATTAAAATAAATAGTCATAAGGTTTAAAAAATTAAATTATAAAAGAAAAAGTATAAAATTATTTGACACATTTTAAAATAAAAAAATTTTTTTTCAACTTAAATAATAAATATTTAAGCAAAAAAAAAGCCTTTTTATTTTTAGTTTTTTTTTTTTTTAAGGAAATGAAGAGACGGGCAATAAAGATAAAAAAAATCCGCAGAGAAAATTTTAACGAAATAATAATTTCCACATTAAAGAAATTCAACACATTATCAATTCTTTATCCATTTTTATATAATGAGGTATAGAATTTGTTGCTTCTCTTCATCAACAGTTTTGAATTGTTCACAACAATACAATATTCCGTTAACTTCTTTCTTTAAAAGGAAAATAGTTCATCTCTTAAACACGTTTTAAAGGTTGGAACCTAAAACGTAAAAAATATTTTCGATTTATAAAAAGAGACTTTATATATATATATACAAGAGCCTTATTAAAAAAACCACAATAAAGTAAATTCAAGAAAATTTTGAAAGATGGAATTTAAAAATAAAAATAATAATAATAATTTCCATCTTTTTACTCTTCTGCTTCTATTATAGAATTTTCAAGTTTAACGTTCTGTTTTGGTTCATTATCATTATCATCGTTTAAAGATTCTTCAACACTCTCATCGAACCCAGGATCCATTCTTTCTTTTTTCTTTTGTTCATACCATCGATGTTTACGTTCCTTACTTTTCAAAATGACCAACTCTTTACCCATTTCAATTCTCTCCTTTTCAAGTTCTTCTAAAGCTATCTGTGCCCTGTCCGAATCCTTTTGCGCTGATTTGGACTTCATAGCTTCTATAGCCATTTCATACTGTGTCTCTTTAACTTTCATTTTACGTTCTAATTCCGCAATTCTTGCGTTTCGATGTTCACTATTTTGAGCAGCATGTGCATTTCTCTTAGCACGAAGGGTTGCGCGTGATGCTCTCGAACCTGGTTTAGGGGCATTCGGATTTAATTTTGAGCGTGATGCACCACGTTTGTAACTATATCCCTCACGCAAAAGTTTTTCTTTGGCCTTTTCAAATAACATTCCTTTATTAGCAACTAAAGCTGGATCTTGAAGAGCCAACTCTATAGCTGCACAATTGATAGCCTGTTCATATGAGGTTAATTGTCTTGGACTATTCTTTCCATAAATGGTCGCATGATGTATAATAACATCCTTTGAAGTTGTGGAAGTATTTATCGGTAACGAATTTGAACTTTCTGATAAAATCATATTTGTAGGTGTAGAAAGAATATCTTGAGGTGTCGGTTCGTGTTCCATAAATACATCCTGATCTTCTTGCATCGGTTGAGCCGTATTCTGCAAAAATGGAGATTGCATCTTTGCAGGTCTTGTAGGTTTATCTAAATACGTTGGCGTCTTTTCACCTGCTGGAGCTATCTTTATCAATTTACGTGTTGGACTCATAGAACCTGTTTGGAACTCAACGGGAGACTAGATTATAAGATGATGATTGTTGAATATTAAATATTTCAATGAAATAAAATAAAATAAATAAAATAAAATATGGGCAACTAAGAAACTTACCACAGGCATCGTCGATTGAACGTTTGGATATGTTAAAGGTGTTGGATACGAATGACCAGATGATAACATTGGAGAGTAAGTTTGTCGTAGTTCCCTAATCCCTTTTTTAAATGCGGCAGAATGAAAAGGTTTCATAGATATAGCAGACATAACTTCTTTAAGCTCCGCTTCGTCAAATCCAAGTAACTGCTCAAGGTCATTTTCTCCAACTCCAGCCTCAACAAATAGGCTATGATATTGCGATAAATTGAGCTGATGAAGAAAGACAGTCAATGCAGGACAGCGGATAGAAGGTCGAGGAGGAGTTGAAAATGAATTTGAACCATATTGATTTGGAGTTGTATTATTATAGTTTAAAGGATTATCACCAGCAAGTATCTCTTCCTGTGTAGAAGTTGGTGTAGGTTCCATGCTATAATATTGTAATCAAATAAAACAATATAAACGTTATTTACGGGAAATTTGGACAAAGATTTTTGAATATAACCATGAGAATCTTGTAACTTACCTTAATGCGAGCAATTAAAGAAAGCCACTAAGCTTTTATCGCGAGTTTTTGGGTCAAGCCAACTACTCTGACGGTCTTTTGGTCGTTGAGTCGTTTTGTTTTGATTTTTGAAGCCAAGGGGAAGGTCAGAAAGGGTTTATATGACTATATGACGATATGACTTAATGAACTTTGTGAACCAGTAGATGTAATTGACTTGCCAATTGGCTCGTGACTAAAATTTGAACGACTGATTTTATGAGAATACACGAACATTTATATAGCATAGTTAAAAAATCCTCAATATAGTTTTGATCGACAACACGAATTTTTTAAAAAATTTTACTATTCTACTCAATTTTAATATGAAAAAAACACAAAACAAAAAACTACACAAAGACCTTAATAAAACGTTTACAGTCGCTTTAGTTCAGTAAATGGTAAGTCTCAACAACCTCTTTAAAAGAAAACTGTAACTATTTTAAACCATCCAGATTTCTCTAACAACAATAGTTCTACTAAAACTAAAAATATTTTTAGTCTTCTTTTAGCTGATATGGTGTTAAACCATTTTCTTGAACCTACAGAAAATACAATGTCTACTTCTAAGGCCACCATCACAAAATACAGTTTATGGATAAAACTAAGCTTATGATATTATAGAAAACATACTTAAGCCTGAAGATTCTTCTTCTAATATATTATCCTTTAACGTATTTGTAACACTTCCATCTTTTATATTTGCTGCATTACTAAAACATTTCTTGTGAGAAAATCCAATAAGAAAAAATAAGCTATGCTTATGATATATTAAATAATGTTGATTTTTCTTCATTCATTGGTGTTTTAGTCAAATAAATCTAATAACAAAATGTTGAAGATTATCTGATTTGGATTCTTCACTCATGCAGATGCAATAAAGCATTTTGTGTTAAATTTTCTAATATGATTAATCTTAACTTGAATAATCTTCTTTTAAGTTTAACTCTGATCTATTGATTAAAGTTATAAAGATTTATAAGTATGTAATTCAATTGACATTTACTAAATTTAAAACAATCTTTTACTATTCAATGATTATTAAAATCTCTAGTAATAAGCTACTATTTTCTACGTAAAAATACAAATATATCAATCCTCACTATAATCAAAGATCATTTTATCCTTTAAGATTTTATTTACGTATACCTTTGTTTAGCATCTAATGAAAAAATCAAACTATATATATTTAAACTTACCAATCTTTTAAAAGATATATCAGGATGAAAATTAAAACTTATTGCTAAGGTAATTAACATGATGCTATAGATCATCCCTAAAATATGTTCTAAATATCATAATTTTTAATATATTTTTATACATTTCAACTCAGCTGTAGACCTTAATATTACTAAAATAGTAACCTTATCATTTGTAAATTCCTTTGAATATCTCTAGATACTAAACTTTGTATGTATTATTTTACACTTAGATACAACTCTCGTTTATATAAAAAAAAATATGTTGTATTATAAGATTATCAAATATAAAATCTTTACCAAAGATTTAAGTCAGCTTAATTTAAAACTATTCTGCTTCACCTAAACCATTTAAACCAACTTTTATGTATAATAGTTTGTCAGTAGTCTTGGACGAACTTTGTTCCTTTCTGCTTATTAATTCTAGTTCGCCTATTAGTATTACATCATCATCTACGGGAGTTTGATTTCCCAAATCCACTGGCTTAGTGACTCATTAAAGCCAAAAAAATTTCTGACAAAATATATGTGGCTCGTATTGACCAAACGATTCGACCGTTCTATATACTTGATGCATACTAATGAAACCTCCTATCAATACTGATCATTAGAATGTGAAAACAATTTGAATATCAGTATCAAATGTATTTTCATCCTTATACAAACTTAATAATAAGACAGAGCGTTCTCAAGCATCTTCTTCAAATGTAATTGGCTAGTGATGCATCTGTAGTTGAGGGTGTAGGTTTGCCCATTTCCTTAAAAAGATCTTGAGTTATTAGAGTTCGATCTCTTTGCCTTTACAATCCCAATTCGGATATGTTAACTTGCCTCTTGTTTTTGCTATATTCAAGAGAAACCCTTCGAGACACTTTTGGTGATAAAGACAACCACAGGTGGCCATAGTAAATTCTTTGATTGGCTCATCCAGATGTATTGTGAATTTCTGTTTACATAAAATGCATGATTTCATCTGGAATATGAATGCCAGTAGAACGAATAAGACTATTTGTGCTGAGTAAATTTAGCGCTAGAGTGGTAATTTGAGATTTGTTCATACCAATCGTCTTCTCGGCTATATCACTGCTTTGAGTAGAGGTGATTATGATATCCTCCATATTGATATCATCAGTGGTGATCTCTGTCATATCAAATGGAATTTCCGTATTAACTGAGCTCTCTTGGTTCTCTGTATCTGCCCACTTATCACTCTCATGGTCAGAAAAAAAATAGCTAACTTACTGGCTAAAGTTAAAGATGGGTTTTTTTATAGCATTTGTAAATTTTGTAGGAGAAAACATTTAACCAGATTTTCACCAGTAATTACACACTGCATTTCGTCATTTGTTAATCCCCTGCAAATCAATAGAAATGATCTCATGATTAACATAGATATCATATGCAAAATAATGATTGCTATCCATACCCAAATATTGTTTTGTTAATATGATAATAGTGTGGCCGGAGGCATGACATGCAAAAATAAATGTAAATAAAGTCGAAAAAATAATGCGAATATATATGCGAATCTTACACGTCTTATTTCCAATTCACTAATACTTTATTTAATGAAGTAAAACGCTGTCAAAGCAACTAATACATAATAAAATTTGTAAAAAATCACTGTTTCATGATGTGAATACAAGTAAGAATCTAATTAATCATTTTATATGTGAATAAAATATTCATCAGGTTCTCATTAAATCAAAATATATTATTGATTTTTTAACTTCTCAACTTTTGAAGCTGATAAGCCTGTAACATCTGAAATATCTTGGGGAGAATAACCTTTTTTCAAAAGCTTACATACAATTTCTTCTTTCGTTTCCTCCCTCCCTTCCCCCTTCCCTTCTTCTTTAGCAGTTCTAATTGCATCTTCATCATCTAAAATTACCATCATGGTCTTTTCATAGCTTGAAATTTCCGCCAAGCTCCAACGATGTCTTTCAAGAACTCCATAAGCTTCTTGAATCTCATTAGGCGCTTCTTTTGGAAGTTCATATTCATTAGAGGCTTCCTTTAATAAATGTATCCAATAGTCCTCAGGAGTTTCGAGTTGTTCACTGCATTTACTGAATTTTGGAAGTTCAACAAATACGAAAGATTTGGTAAAAAATATATATTTGATTCCTCTTCACGATTGTGATGATAACTAATACATTGAATCTTTTTAGGAAAAATATTATGATTCGCGATAGCAAGTAGAATTACTGGCTTAAGTTCTAAATAATCTGCACCTTCAAAAAGTTGGTCGGAATAAGTACGTGAGGTATAATATTCTAATCTTTGGATGAATGAGCTGAGTCTTTTGTTTTGCATTTTTAACAATGTATTTACGTCCTTTTTATCCTAGCAAGAAATATTCAAAATAGATTTTTTAGAATCTTCGTATCGAGGAGATAGCTCCTGAGGTAATAATTTGACTTCTTCAATCATATTATCACCTTCTCGTCTTAATATTGAATTTAAAAAACTTAATAAAAGTGGCTTGTTTTGTTCCACACCAAAAATCTTTTTGAAGGCTATGTCATTTTTAGGATCAAAAAAACATCTAACAGGTCTAACAGTTGCTAAATTTCTTAAATGATTAAGTCCCATTCTACAAGTTCTTTGTTTGTATACTGCCATTTTGAACATCTTGATTGAAGAAGGAAAGAAATCGTATTACGCTAAAAATAGACGCATCGCGGTCACTTTTGTTCTCACATTCATATGTCTGGAAAATTATTAATGATCACGTGATTCTGATCTTCTAACTCATATATATGATTAGTTTTCATCAAAGAGCTTGAATACTGTTGTCTGATTATAAGGTTCTCCTCTTTTTCACACAAATTCTTTGCACAATGTGTTGTAACTGCAAACACAGCTCCTAGATTGCATAAAGAACTAAGGAGTAGTGGTTTACCAATTTCAGGAAGAAATTCATTTTTTTTCAGAAATATATTAAATTATAATGCACCTGGCTTTTTGGGTCTCTTAACTATCTAAAAGAAATTGCTTTCTGAATCTATACAAGTACAGTTCTGGCGGAAAAAAATGACAATTTTTTTTTTTTAAATTTTGGAGCGGATCACGCGAAATATCTAAACAAAAACATAAATTATGATGTAAACAAGTTGTTTACATTATATTTTAATAAATATCTGCAGCCTGACGATCGCAAGCATCATACAATAGTTTCACTAAAAGAGCGCTATTAATGTATTAAAGCTTTATGGAAAGGTGGCGTTCGTAAAGTCGCAGACCTTCAAAAAGCCACTAGATATCCATTAAAA